CGCACATACAGCTGCTCCTCCTCGCGTGCAGGAAGTAGCAGGATCCACTTCTACGAGCCAGGAACCAACCCAACGCAGAACCAGACATCCACGGGGGTTATCACAGCCATTCTACGTATCCCGCTCGACAAGGTTCTCAGAACCTTTGTCGTCGTTCGTAGGTATCGGAATCTGCTGATCCAGTTCTATGCAGATCATCCTGAACTCATGACTGCAGTCGTGGACTTGGAGCCAGAGCAGCCTGCGATGGTAATCGAACCTCGCCATGTCATCACGCATCTAGCAACTTGGAAATGGCGTGTGCAAATCAACGGAGCAACCAAGCCTGCTTTGAAAGTCTGCTGGGCACTCAATCGGGGCCGTCGGTAGATACAGACTCTTTTTCAGGATATTTCATTCCTTTCTACACCGATTTTGAACTTGTTCTCTGTCTCTTTGTTCCATAACTCTTGTAACACCTCTACAGAATATAATTTCCTTTGTTGTATCGCTCGGACCTAGTATGTGATTTTAGAGAAATGCAGGATGGAAGGCTTCATTTTGGCTTCATAGCGGTGATCTAGGCCTCCGAAATAGATTTAAGGACATTTTTCTCGAATTTTTGCGGGCCACCTGAGCGAGAAAAAAACCAACGGTGTCAACTTTACGATCAAACTTTGATCGTAAAGTTGACACCGTTGGTTTTTTTATATTGAACAAGCCCTCTGGATGCTTCATGCACAAGTGATAATACATCTTAAATGTATGTAAGCCCTTCTATGGAGAGGAATCTCTGTGCCATGGCTTCATCAACAAGTTATTCCGTAGTCCTACAAGTCACGTGCATTGCTTCGACGGCAGCATATTTACACTGTTGCAAGCATATTCTTCACGTGAAAACAATTTTGCAGCAATGCCTGGATCATAATACATCTTCTCGGCGAGTTATTATGGACTCACATATCCAGAGACAAGGTCTGTAATCCGTCCTATTCAAGACATTGGTTTGAAGTTTCACGGCGCTTCGCCGAACAGCGTTCTACTTTCCCTCAGTTCACACCCGCTGCAAAGGGTATTTCTTCTCGCTCCAAAGCTCATTTCAGCTTGTCACCAAAATTCAATTCAATTCGATATCTATGAAGGAGGAAATCTATGTTGTGGGTGTCAGTGAGCTAAGATCTATTCTCGTTCTGGAGTTCCTCGTCAACCTCCATCTCCTCCTGTCTCTTGTCCTCGTCGCCGCTCTCGTCACCCTCTTCATCCTCTGTGTCCTCAAGATTGATCTCGTCCTCTCCCTCTTCGTCGTCGGCATCCGAGTCAGGAAGGGCGTCGATTTCTTCTGGAGAGGGAATGTCGTACTGCTCCAAGACATCGTTGCCATACTTCTCCATAAAATCTTTCTTGCCCATGGTCTTCCAGTCGTCGTGCGCTTCGTCGAAAGCAAAATCCTCGAGGGGGAATGCGACACCCGTGTTTACGTATCGTGCACGCTCCTTCAGAGTCAGCGCATTGAAAAAGGCAGGAGTAAAGAAGTCGACGGGAACGTCGGGCGGCAAGATCACCCCAATATCGGAAGCTGGGAGCAGAGGGTTCCCACGGATGCGAGGCTTCGGTGCCCTGCAAAAGACTCTTGTCCATTCGCGAATTGACTCGGCTTCTATTCAAACTTACTTTTGTCCTCGCTTCGCATTGCGCTTGCGATATTCTTCCGCTGCAGGGTCAAGCTCTTCGCGGAAAAACCGGCCTACTACAGGATTGCGCCCCGGCTTCATGCGGACACAGCCTGAACTCTGCTCGTCGTCCGAGTGCGCTTCCTGGACACTGGCCATGCGCAGCACGGGCTTCCGGAGCCCAAGGCTAGTCGCTGTTTTGAAGCGAACCTCACTGAGCTGAAGACGAAGTTCATTCGAAATGAACGACAAGGCAGAGACAAAAGACGCACCCGGGCTCGCGCCTTGAATTCCGCGCCATGCGTAAGTGACTGACTAAGACTGCCTGGGCGTCGCCTCTCCATCTTCGTTTTCTGAGCCAGCGTTCCGTACACGTAGTTGTCGTACATATCACAGAGAAGGTCCGTGTCTTCGGCGACCTTGAGGTTGACTTCCACAGCGCACATCGCTAAAGAAGAGGAGAGGAATTGGAAACCGGATACGGCTAAGTGACGATGCAGTTGGTTGTACGTAGACTGAACTGGTCCATCGAGGTCAGGACAAAAGCCCTGCAAACCAGCTTTGAGAATCATGGTGAAGACGGTGGCGAGATGAGCCTCGGGAATACGTGCGATGTCATTCGCAATGGGCCCGGGAATCCTCTTCGCATCGCGTATAAGCCGTGTAGCAAGGTCCTTTGCTGCGGTCACAGCGGTCCTCGATTCGTCGACGAGGGTTCGCATATGCGCACGATAATCGTCGACGCCATCGAAGCGCTTGTCGTAATGCTTCCGCCCCTCAGTCGCAGGGGGGAGCATGTCTTCTTGCGTGAGCAGGCCGCATAGTCCCCGAATTACACGTTGGAATGCTCGCTGTAAGTTTGATTAGTTCAGACATGAAAGAGTCAAGAGCTCTCGCATACCTGCGTCGATTTGGCTTTGACGGGTACTTCTGTGGGTCGAATCCCCCAGCGATTACGCACCCGCTTCTTCGGCGGCGTCGTATTGGTGGTCTCGTCAGCTGAATTGGTGCCGCCCGCGCTGGCTGGCATGCTGGTAGACTGTGCCCCTCCCCCTCCTGTGTTACCGGTGGAGGTAGATGCTCCTGCACCCGTAGATCCTGAGGTGCCCGCCGCACGAGCCCTCTTTTTCGACGAAGGCTCTTCATCAGAACTCGCGGTGGGACTGGATTTGCGCTTGCGCGAAGAGCCATTAGCACCGAAGTAGACTTTTGGCTTTCTTTTCTTCGCAGAAGTCTTTGGCTGAGTTGCATTCCGTGGCATTGAGATGTGGAGCGAGGAATTGCAATGGGAGATGAGATGAAAGACGCGACGGAATGAAAGAAATAATTATTTGAAGCCCGATCACTGAATCACTGATCTATCGACCTCGAGGCTTGCTCGAGGCAACACCGCAGTCGCGCATCCTTGAAGATTACGGTGAGTTGGCTTTTCCAGCAATCCATGGAGTATAGAGCACAGAATGGTGCTCGTCACTACATGGATAGCTTGGTTTGATAGCCTAAGATCACGATAATCTCAGGATGGTCGACAAAGTTTTCAGCGGCGGGGTTTTGGCGATGTTGAAGGCCCGAGTGGAGAGAATGTGTAGCAGTGGAGAAGAGGGAGATTTCTGCTTGCTACAGAGCTGGGCGTTTCAGCACTGTATAAGTGATCCAAGGAGATGCTGGGGGTAGAGAGCAAGAAATGTCGACAGCGAAGCACGCGCACGTGCATACTTTCTCACACTGGCACCGGCCCGGCTTTGATCAACTGTCCAACGCCCGTCCAACGCCTGGCAAACGCCATGGCACATGTCGGTCCCACGCCATTCAAACGCCATGAAGCCGCGGCCACGGCTTTTGCCCGGAGTGTCTCCACGTAGCCCTTCCCCACAATATATTTTCCCTCTCTTCCGTCCCTCTCTCCATTTCCCCCCACTACCCCTGCCCTTCGTGCTTCGTGTATCTCACTACCGCCCTCCCTTCTCCTTGCTCTCTTGTATCTCTTTTCTCACCCACGCACGCTCTCATCCCCCTTCCCCTCCGCCCCCCGCTTCTCTCGTGTATGAGTTATCTCATTCCACCCTCTCATCGCCCTCCCATTCCCTTCCCAACATCGTTGCCATCCCTCCCTACTAGTACTCCCGCCGTACTTTCCCCCGATCTCTCTCATGAACTTGTTGCCGCCGGCGGTGATCGTCGAATCATGCCCGAGCCATGGGTCCAATTTCTATCGGCTTCTCGCCGGCTTCCTGTAATAATCTCATTGCGGGCCCTGAAATACAAATCAACAGAAGAAGAAGAATCGTGCCCCGCGAGCCCCAGTGAATCTCACTCGAACAGGTTCAAAATTCAGCAAAGAAGGCTCGGCGGCGGATGGTTCGCACCTGCATCGAGTAGAAAGTTTCGTAGATGTCTGCAGGAGTTGCTCGTTCGATTCGAGCCGGGGCCATGGGTCGATGGTGCTTTTTTGTCCCACTCCTGTTTATCATTTCCATGTCCTTCACTTAACTGGATTATCGATCTGAGACCTGGTTACCTACGGAACCAGGAACTGGTACAGCGCAAGGAGGGTTTTTTTCTAGGTACCTCGTTGGCAGATTTCTGAGTGTGCCATGTTACAACCAACCCGTGTCATACTCGTCAGGAATGCGGCTGTGGTCAAAAAGCAAAAAGGTATGCCAACCTGAATTATGCCGTTGGGAGGGATTGAACCTCTGTCCATGGATATCCCCCCGGCTCCGTGAAACAACATCTCCGATAATCATCGAGCAGCCAGCTGCAGTGGCAAGGAAGAATCTTGCACGAAGCTCGTGGTCGATGCCGTCGGGAGAAATCGTTTAATAAGTACCTCTTGCGCCACAAGGTAAGTTCGGGAACTGGCTCCATGGTACCGGCGACTTACTGTACCTAGTTTAGCACTGAATCATTCTCGACTCCGCATTCAGCGGCTGACCGAGTGAGTCGCGAGTTTTGAGTCCATCCACATGGGTTTCCTTCGGCGTTACACATTACTGAACAGCGCGTCGCATGATCATCGAGCTGGTCAGTAGCAAAAACAACAACAAAAAAAGACTTATAGCGAATACTTTCGGGAGGAATCGAACCACCGTTTGTACCCTTCATCCGCGATCGCCGAATTCTAGTGCGGGGCTGGCCTCCGTGGCCCACAAGAGCTTCCTGTACTTACTGAGAACAGGATTATGGTGGGCCCGGGTCAGTTGGCCAGCGAATGAATTGTAATCTGATCATACGCTGGTTCCTCATCCTATTTCCACCGCAGTTTCTCCGGCGATTTTTTGATAGCACTGCCCATCAGGGCCGAGAGCCGGCGAAGAAGAAAATAAGGACTCGGTGGACCGAAGTGCCCATTGCCATCGGGAGGATTCGAACCTCCGTCTGCCCCATTCACTTTCGAAATATTCTACAATGATTCGGGGGATGGCCGCCATGGCCCACGACGGCTTGCCCTCCTTTCACTTACCTAAATTATAGTCCGTCCTCGTTTGGCGGTAAGGAGTGAGTTGTACCCGATATCATCGCTCCACCTGAGCCATCGAGTAAATGTTCAACAAAAATGATACGAAAATCAATAAGTCTCCCGGTGGGGTCGAACCACCGCCGCCCTCAAACGCTGGACTGTGTAGGTATGTGAGGGTTGGGTGAGTGCGCTACATGGAGTTGCAAGTACGAGCTAGGACTATGTGCCAGGGTGAAAAGGCAGGTTACGAACGCTTCGGCTGAGTTCCCGGGGAATTAACCAGTGGTAAACAGGAATAGAACATGAGGAATCCTTGTGTCTCCGAAGTAATTGAACCCCCGCCTGATGTTGCATTGGTAGGGGAAAAAAACTTCCTCACCTGTACTATGCCGTCGGGAGGAATCGAACCCCCGTTCGCCCCTTTTCATGGCTCAATGTTCCTTACACTGATGCGGGGTAGCCCCACGGCTCACGACGGCTGTTCCTATCTAGCTCTAGCCAGCTGAAATCATGCGCCGCATATTTGTTTCCTCCGGTAACGGAAGGTTTCAAATCAAGTTGGAGTCAGGTTTCGGCGTTGAGAATCCATCCCTAGATTTAACCAGATTTATGCCGCCACCCAGATTGCGCTGCTCATTAATTGTTCGAACCGCTACGCAGTCCTTTCTGAAACGCAAGTGTAAAACAAGGAAGCATTCTAACGTTCACCGGGAGAAGCCGGCGGTATCAGATTTTGATCAGATCTCAAAAATGATGTAGCCGCCTGCTGTTGGATCGCCAGTGTTTGTGGTACAAATCCCTCACTAACTCGCAGAACGCGCATACTTGTTTTAAATTGAACAACGGTTGCTTTCTGAATTTGTGCGACTTTTGTTCGGATCAGACCGTGATGGTACACAAGCCCAAACACACTACTGCTCCCGGTCTTGCGTCTCCTCAGACTTTGTAGGGGAGAGGGTCTGTTTGCAGACCAGTCGCCACTCAAGAGGAATCGACCCAAAGAACTAGAACAGCTCTATTGGGGGTGAAGGGGAATCCTAACGACTACAGAGATAAGCGTGGCTTATATAGGTAGAGTGTCCGTGACGTGACGTAGGTGACAGGGAACGGCCCGGGAAACCCTACATACGCCCTCCCATGGTATCACAGAGACCATGAACAAAACAGATAAAAAGTAAGTAGGAGCAAAAGAAAATTAAAACATACCACGACCAGTCTCTCCCGCGCGCAGTGCGCACCATCCTCCTCCATCAAAATTCGACCCGAGTCTGCAATAACGCGTGCCCAAAATTCCGCCAAGCCTAGGCGAAAATCTATGAGTAGCACTACGTTGATAGAGGCAGATTCGGATGCCGCAGATGCCAGGAGAATTAATTTGTGCGTCCCGAAGGAATTCGAAGACGGTCGGTGTGTCAACGTGAAATCTTGAAAGTGTCCATATAGCAAGGAAAGTCGTGTCAGAGAAGTCGCGTCATTGTCCAGGAGGTATCCGTGGTTCGCGAAGTAAAGAGTAGGGGCGAAGAGGCCAGACCAGATGGTGGAAGGAAGAAACGAGGTGGTTGTTTGCGTGTGTGTCGTTCCGTGGCCTACGGCTTTCGGTGCGATCACCAAGTCTTTGCTCTCGCCCTCCATCTCGCGTCCCGGATCTTCAAGCCCGCTAACCATCTTGACTTTGCGGGGGCTCATTCCTGGGTCCCAAGGTGCGTGTCCACTGCGTCTTGATGTTGGAAATCCGTTAACTCGGTACGCAGAGTTTCCTCTGAGGCGAGACGACGGTCCTCAAATCCGCAGGCCCGGTACCATGCGTGGAAGTCGAATGTGGGGTCCAGTAGCTGTGTCGCGGATACCATCCCAGCAAGATGTTGCCTTCTGTCGTAGATCTTGAAACAATCACCGACTTTTTCGATTTCAAAGCGCATATCCATTGAAGAAGTGTCCGCTGTCCAGGGTGACACTGCCAGCAATCCGGTACGTATCTGAACTATCAAAGCGGCGTCTACCAGTCGCTTGTGTTCCTCAGAGGGTTCCGCAAATTCGATGCTCGTGCAACACACGCCCAACTCGACCGCGCGCATCAGAGCGTGTCTGCGCTCGATATCTTCGAACGTTACTGCGCTCGACTGAATCATATGCTTGGGTGGTCTCAACGATTTGCCTTTTGGGCAGTCCTTCCTGATGTGCTCAGTGCTGCCGCAGTCAAAACATTTGCCTGCCGCTCGATATTCATTCATCTCGGCCTTGGTGAGTTTTTGTCCGGTTTGAGTCGGTTTCTTGGACTGCGCAGCTGGCGGGGCTGGCGTATTGGAGCTCTCGCCCTCCGTGCGATGTACGCTTTCGCCCTCCGTGCGATGGGACTCGCCACCAGCCTTGCGATTCGTTAGGACAGGTCGACGGCCGCTCAATTGTTCGTCGAGCGCCTTTTCATCCGCTGCGATAATCAACGCCGTTTCGTAATTGGCAGCGGATATTTCAAGCTCATCCAGTGTCGAGACTTCACGGTCATAGCCTTGCTCTGCCCAATGAATTCTCACTCGGGAGTCGGCGCCTTGCCAGAACCGAATGATAAATTGGCGCTCGCTGATATCGTCACCGATGGAGTCGCGCAAATCTGTCAATTCCACACGATAATCGCGAATGGGGTGGCCACGCTGCCGGAACCTGTCGTACTTTTCGCGCTGGATCGAGCGGAAGTTGGGCGGGAAACAATGATTAAACAATGCCTTTAACAGCTTGTTCAATGTCCATTTCCGCGGGTTTTTCGCAACTTCTCGCATGTACCAGGCAGAAGCACGACCTCCAAGGTATTTCTTAATCCAAGACACTGCACGTTTCTTGCTGATGTACCCATAGCGCACGCAGTCCTTGACTTCAAGAGCAAATTTCTGAAAGATTCTAAAGTCAGCCTGCCCTTCGTACTCGGACGGCGGGTCAGGTTTCGAATTCAAATATTCCAGCTTTCGCATTTGGAAACGTTCACCTAGGGAGCCTCCACTTTGGTCACGTGTCGGACCTCTTAGGTACCTTTCTCTGTATGAGCTAAAGGTACCTAAGAGGTACCCCTCCACGGCGCCCTCATTTATGTAAGCCCCCGGCGGCGACCTCCGAGCCACACGCGGCGTGCGTGCCGCATCCTCGGCACTGTGCGGCCAGGGCGGATTTGCTATGGAGGCCTCCCCTGCGACGCAAAGATGTTGTTTAGGGGATGTGGCTGTCACAGGTCTGAATAGAAACCAACCCAAGTTTCCGAGTGCCAATAACGTGTTGAAAAATTGTTTAGCCTCGATGTAGCAGCAAGAACGGGCCTCGCAAAGATAACTCGGTGGTCACCGTTTGGTCCAGTATTTGCTCCGCCGGGGCCTGTAGCACGTTACTAAATTTACCGAATATACGATCCTTTTGTCGGAGTTTATAAGCGCCCGCGGCGCAGGCGAGCGAGCTAGAATGCCGGTAACGGAGGCCACTGTGTCTAGCCAGGGCCGCAGGGTTGACAGGATATTCTATAATTCGAGAGGGTGGGAATGCAGCAGGTCAACGACGTGTCATTGGGAGTAGCGTTCAGACGAGAGACGGTATATTTACTTTGCGAATGTGCCGGCTAGCCTCATCGATATCGGGGATTGCACACAATTCAGAAGCCGAGCAGTATCGAAGATGCAGGCATAATGAATTAGCATCTTCCGTTCTGAGCCCCAGCCACGTTCTTTTCGGTTTCGAAGTGGGCAATAATCGACATTTGGAGGCCTCCCAATGTTCAACCGTTGGGTGAGTAGTAGGTCAACAAATCCGTGAACCTGCCATTGAAACATCAGATACTCTTGAAATGGTCCTTTACTTGGGGACGAGGTTGATAGCAGTCGCGTGCCATACGGTTCGGAGACCACGAGACAATTGAGAGCTTGCTGATAATGGCCATCTGTCGAGGCATGAAACGGCAGCACAGACATATACTTGGCAGCATAAGACATATTTACCTCACGTAGTATCATCCGATTATCCGCGCATGCCTGGAGCGCCATATTGCCACTATTCGGAGGCCACCATACAACGAGTCAGGAGATTGACAGACACTATGGCTGCTCATCGGGACGAAGATACAGCGCAGGGGAAGTAATCACGCCCCTCTCTCTTGTTTTGTTGTGACTATGTGCGGGGGGAGGTATGTATCAATCACTTGGACCGAATAGAAGTAGGCCTCCATCGCGGTGGTGCAGACCGGAAAAGCGTCCGAAACACAGATTGAACAGCGCCAGGATATGATCAAACATCTTCCGTATCATGAAAGGCCCATACGCCAGCAGTGAGGTATTCCATGAGACCAAACATGAGGTGGTTGGATGTTGTGGTCGAAGTCGTAACGAAAGTAACCGTGTCTTCTGCTTCAAATCATGCGCACCCAAATGCTCGCTGTGAAGGCCCTTGAAAAATCTTTGAAAAAAAACAGAGGGCATCGGGCGATGGTAAAGACCAAATTGGGCCTTTTACTGCAGAGCTGAATCCAAGTCCTTGGGGAGAGACGAAAAGAACGAAGTTCACCCACGTTTATTCTCGATCCGATTGGTTGATCAATGTTACGTGACCAGCCGAAAAGGAGGCGCAGAGGCAACGCAGAGGCGGAGGTATGGAGGGCTGCGAGGGGAAGGCAGGGAGGCCGCTGAAAACCCGATCTGTTTGTCTCTTGCTTCGTGCCCCTCCGTAATTTAGTGAAGACTTGGATGCCCGACCTAACCACACAATAACCACAACTCAACCGGATGTTGGGTGGCCTCTGTCAAAGCGGCAGGGTGGCAATTTCGTTTTGAATGTAATCGGTGGTGGCCTCCTTTCATCTTCTAACAAGCACGTCGATGTATACCTTGGGTTTTCGTCTACCTGTGCGCTTAAATTCACTTGAAATCTCAGCTGGATTTGTCCGGGGAATGACTGCTTCGCTAATGTTTGGGCAGGCAATTCAACTGCGCAGGGTGGCCTCCACATTGTTGGAATA